ACACCACCTTATAGTAAATTTAAAAAAACCGTCTCGCCCAATTTTAGAGGTGTTATAGCTTAACAATACATACTACCAAACACAAAAGTCACGGTACTTCATAATACTAGTACAATTTATATATGGTTATACCAAACGGGTTCGAAGCAGTCGCTCGTTCTAACGATGTTCCGAGGGTTTCGAGGATTCCAAACTAAATTTCTTTTTTAATGCTGGCCTAGACGATCCAAATAATTAAAATCATTAATGGACGAAAAGATTGGTTCAAATTGGACCCAACATTGGATCCTTGGGACAGGTTCCATTTGTACACAGTTTCCTGTCAATTTCTTCACTCCTCGAGCCAGGGAAAACGAAAAGAAAAAAACAATTCAGATTGGCAGAGGATATAGACGAAAGGCCAATCCGCCACCTGCCAAATCCACCCGACAGAATATTTCGTGTGTGCTTTTCATGGTTGGCTCTTTGGTATCGACTCTGTTCTGAGTCTGACCTCTCAGCAAAGGGGAAGAAAATATTATTCCCTAATTCAGAAAGTAATTTCTTTCCCTCAAGTCGAATTGACTAACTTAGCAGCAGCAGTCTTGGAGAATCATATTGATCTAATTAAGATATTAGGGTTTATAATCCTGTCTTTAGTGTATAAATCTTCGATTCATGTCGATTCGGTTCAGTACAGGTATGTAGCTCTTGACACGGGCCTACGTCCCTATATTCCCATGTCAGTCCGCAGTAGCGCACCTTAGCATGCATACCATCTAGGCAATGTTTAATGCGTGTATCAAAATGTAAGATATATTAAGAATCGTGCTCATATTTCAAACTTTAGGAGAAATTTGAGTCACATCAATGATTATTCGGTTTGACTTAGTAGTAGATTAAATTTTTTTTATTGGTGTAAGTTTAGTCTTGACCAGATTTGAAAAGGGTCAACCGAGATTCGATGAAGGGTTTTTTAGTGACCATTTTATTTATATATATTATTTTACTAGCAGTAAAATCCAATTAAGTGGTAACTGGACGTTTAGCTAAAAAAAGTTTGAAAAAAAGTATTACCAGAACAAAACACAAAATCCAAAGGGTCCCATTTTATTTTAATGGAGCTCCTGCATTTAGATAGAAAGAGATAAAAAAAAAAAAAAAGTGATGCGTTTGAGTCAACTTTCGAATCTAAAGTAAGTGAATAAGAAAAGGTATGCCTTAAAATCATCTCATCAAAATTATCATGAACTTGGAATTTAAATATATCGCGACGAGATCTATCAATAAGTTACGTGGTAAAAGAACGCATCGCGATAGTGATTTTCTATTGCTCGAGAATCACCTATTTGAGATATATTTCTTTATCATGAAAAAGAAATGCTTGACGTGTCTTTTCGTAAGGCGCAAAAGTAAATATAGGGTCGACGTAAACATGAATTCATTAGAACTCGATGAAGTTTGAAACTTGCAGCTTACACATACATTTGCACCTGTGTTATTTGTTTGCTAAGAACTAAGTCGATCTCGAGGATTTGTCATAATACATGATTTACTTAGAGGTTTTTCGGGATAATAAGAGACGTCATAACTTTCGAATCGACTATACTCACGTGCGCACAAATCAATTTGTCCATAAATCGGTTTGCTTAGATAGTTATTTTGTTAACGAATTCGTGAAACGCAATTATCGCGCATGCCAATCGAGAAAACATCTATAGTTTTCAATACATCAACTGTCGATTTGTCCTCGACGCACATGAAATCAATGCTATAAAAGATCTAATTTTTCTAAAATTAAATACACTTAACAAACCGTCTTCGAAACTCTCGTTAATAAAGAAATGTACGATTTCCAAAACACCTATAGAAAAAAAGGATTAACACTACGAAAAACACCAAAATGATACATCTGAAATAAATTTACCCCAAACTAAACGCCAAACTGGTATATTCGTAACAAATTTATCCTTCATTACTTTTCGTTAAATTTTACCGTTAAATTGCTAAGTTAGATGATACGTGGCAATTTGGGGTTTTACCCTCCATTTGTCACTAATGTACCAGTTCATGATTTTTCGTGGTATTAATCTAATTTAACGAAATTTGATGGAAGGTAAATTTGTCGCAAATGTACTAGTATGGCAGGTTTTTGGTCGTGATCTTAATTCTAGAAAAAAAAAAACGGCGTTTGTATTATCTCGAGGTAACTAATCAATAGACAAAATAAAATTCTATTAAAAATAGAGAGAGGGTGTAGATCCTTGCGGTGGTCCGAGAAGCAGGTGACAGGCGCCGGCGGAGAATCTTTCCAACGTCAAGGAAATGATTCGGACGACCTTCGAAAGGGGGAGGAGGGGGCGCGCGCACGTGACTCGACATCGATAGTCGGGTCCGATGGTCCTGCTCACGTGGGGCCCAGCTGACCCTTCCTTAATTAATTTCTATTCGAAAGCCACAAATTTTTTTTTCCACCAAATTAAAAATGGTAACTACTGGGGTTTATCTAGATTTTCTGTGATTTTCGTCGATTAATGCGACGGAATAAGAAAAATCGCGAATTAATTCTATTGGAAAGTGCGAGCTCTCTTTTAAAGATTTGGTCTGCTTAGGGAAAGACGAAGATAGACTTTCGTGAAATTAGAAAGGTTTTTCACTTACCAAAAATAAGATGTAAAGATAAGTTTGGCAAGTGCTAATAATTTCGCGGGATAATTGCATAACCCGATGTGGAATGTTATCGCCGCACTTTTAATTTGTGCAGTGTGGTCCGTGAACTTTAACCCAATATGCAATGCGGTCCATAAACTTTTAATTTGTTTAATGTGGTTCAATGTTCAATCTCGTCCCTAGACTATATGAAAAATATCCAATGACATTCTTTTATTAGTTCAGGTTTGAGGATAACATTGAACATTTACATACAACCCATAGACTAAATGAAATTAGTACCAAAAGTTCATGGACCATTGAATAAATCAAAAGTTCAAGGACGACATTGCACATTGGACTGAAGTTCAGAGGTTATATTAAATAAATTAAAAATTCAAGAACCGCACTGCATATTGAGATTGCAGTGCGGAGATTCGTTTGGATTGCAATGCATTTTCTTCTACGGCACACTCGTGTGAATAGATTTTTACACCAAAGATATTTGTTATGTAATGTCTCATTAAACATAATCACTGAAATCACATGTTGGGAGATTAGTCAATGCTTATGGAATGATAAGCTTCTTCGAGCATTGAGGGAGGTCATGGGGATCGCCATCAACATCGAAGACATTTCCCAATCTCGACATTAATAGGTAACAACTAGGCTTGCAAGTTTTGATGTTTTAATGGAAGATCAATGCGATGTTTGGAGCAATTGGTGATACTAGCAATCTTAATCTTCAATGGGGTTAATTTTTTTTTTCTATTGGCTAGGTAAGCATCATGTAGTAAGAAAAGTGGTTACTTTGGCACTAGACGTTCCCAAAGTGGGTACTATTGCGTCGGGTGATTTTTTGCGAATACTGCTATCCAAACATCATATGCTGGGTATTTTACGCGCATATTTGTTGGCATTTTTTCAAAGTTTGCATGGATAATACATGTTTTTGAAACCAACATATTGACCGGAAGCCCCTCCAGTTTCTTAAATTATTTTCCAAATCAGTTGGACCTCCAACACCTTCCATCAACGGTCACGTTTGCTCCTATAATGATCTTTTGTAGCCGTACTCAAGACCCCAGTAACTGAACCCAATTCCCCGTTATGGACCCAAGACTCCAGGGGGCTTGAACCTGGGCGATGCGACACTAGATTGAAAATCCCGACCATTAGAACTATCGCTTAGCCGAGGTCGCTAGCTATTGAACGTGGACCTTGGCTTGCCTTTATCGGAAAACTGTCCGTAGCTTCACAGATGGCCTAGGGGCTGGAGTCCGGACTCTAACGATCGGACTCGGGTCCGCTTCGCTTGGACCCAAACCCGCTGCTACCATGATGCTCGACCTCAGGAGCCCTAATGGGCAGCGGCCAGACCGTTTTTTTCGATAATCAAACCCCCTTGAAAATTGATTTCCAACTTCATTCGCAAAAAGGATTATCCAAAAGGAAGAAAAAAAAGATAAAACCCTTTTCTGAAATCCAATTCAAACCCCAAAATTTTTAAACCAATTGTACTAAAATAAAAGTGAATGGTCTTGATTGGCTCTTGGGGGTAACAACATGACATCCTAGTGAATTAAGGAGATGAGTCCAAGATTTCCAAACTAGCAAACCTAGGATAAAACCCAATGGACCAGCATGCATCCAATCAAAACCGACCAAGAAAAAACGGCAACTTTTATTTCAATTTTTTCTTTTTCTCTCTCTTTTTATTTTATTTTATTTTCTTGTAAGAAGAAGAACACTTGGTGCAAACTGGAAAAAGAGCACGCCTTTTTTGGTCCCCCCCACCCATTCTGACATCATCATCGACTTTCAAATCTTTGCTCTTTTTACTAAAACACTCCGGACGAACGAAAAGTCAAGCTTTTTTTCAAATTTTGTCGAGAAGATGGAAAGAAAAAACAAAACAAAACATCCAGAAAAATCCAAATCGCCGCCGATTTGCCGATTTATGTTTTTTCGTGATATTAATCAAATTTAATGAAAATTAACGAAGAGTAAATTCGTAAAAAATTTATCAATTTAAAGAAATTTATCACATGTGTATTTAGATTAATATTTCGTAATATTAATATAAGTACGAAATAAGTACTCATATCGAATTTACTAATTGTCGAGAAAAATAACGAAAATATAGAAAGAGAAAAAGAAGAAGAGCACGTTTGTGCGGAACACGAAACGAAAACGGACAAAAGACCGCCTGAAAATTGCAGTTCGCGCACAGTCGTCGTCTTGTCTGAAGAGGAGTTGCAACGGATCTCACTCCCACTCCAGTCCAGTCCACCTCAGGTTCAAACCCCATCTCTCTCTCTCTCTCTCTCTCTCTCTCTAGCACAGAGGTTGTCGCTCTCCCTTCCTCCCTCTCGCTGTCTCTCTCTTAATAACTCTCAGGCCATACTTCGTTGTTGGGTGGGTCTGAGAGGGTCCGAGCTTCGTCCATTCGTTTCGGGGAGGGGGGGTTGGCGACAGCGGAGCCCCGTGAAAGTTTTCATGTGAAGTTTCGCAATTGGGTCGGTCTGGTTTCGCCTTTTCGTGATCCAGTTCAGGTGATTGGAGTGCGTTCGGTCTCTTTCCCCGTCCTTTTCCACCCCCAGACAGCCCCCTTTTGTGCTGTCAGCGGTCGCTGCATTGCATTCCTCCTCCTCCTCCTTTCTTGCGCCGTTCTTGGGTTTCCCTTCTCTCCGGCACGGATGTGGTGGGATCTCTTCTAGGGCTTTCGGGAGGCGGAGGAGGGTTGGAGAGATTCGCGGTTGCGAATCCGGGGTGTTCGCCGTTTTGCACGTGGGAGGAGAAAGCTCGTGTACCCTGAAAGCGAAGCGGTCTAAGAAGCATTAAAGCTCCTGTCTTTTCTGGGATTGAATTGATATCAAGGGACTGTGCATCTCATTTATGTGTTTTCGTCTGCGACTTCGAGAAGGGAGCCGTTATCCACGCGAAGTACTCGGCGAATTTAAACGGAATCTGGAAGAAGTTGGGGGCTCTGACTAGGAAAAAGAGAGACTTCATGGAAATGAGAGTCTCGTTTATGATGGGCAGATGGTGAGTCGACGAATTTCGGCTTTGTGTGGGGGGGTTGTGTGATGGTCTGAACAATCTTTCGACGTTCTGCAGGATCTACCACATAATTTGAACTTCAGAGAATGCGATATCCTGTGATTTGTTTCCTTATCAACCGAGATACTCTGCCTTGGGGGCGTTAATGTTCTTAAGATGACTAGGGCCGTCCGAAACAGGGTCCTTAAGGATGTGAATGGTGATATAAGCGACCATCTTCGGAACCACATCCACTTGACTAATTGCATTCATCTGAAGAACCATATGCACAAGCACAGCCCCATGTTGGCTGACAGGTCTTTGATGAGAGATCTCATCGTCCTTCAGAGGTCGCGATCTCTCAGGGACCCATCTGCTAGTCCTCCCTCATGGCATTCTCCTTCCGTGGCCGACCTTCTCACCAAGCATGGTGGGAAGGATATCATTCAGGAAGGAAGAAGGTCAGTTGGCATTGAGCGGCCGAGGCAAGGAAGGAGGTTATCAGGAAGCTCGCCGCAGTTTGCTGGTTTAACAGCATCAAGAGTTGATCCAGGAGAGGACAATGAACGTGATGATGCGGCACCGGTAGTTAGTGAGCAGAGTAGCAAGAGTGAATTGCGTGATTCTAGAAGAATTAGGAGAGAACACGTTCGGAAAAGCAGTAAAGAGGATTTTTTCGGTGGGAATGAGGATCCTATACTAGGTATGGATGGAAATGAATCTCTCCGTGACATTTTTTCCGGAAAATCTGACTCTAGAGAAAGAAAGTACAGAGAAAAGGGAAAACGTGTTCAAGATTCTCAAGTCAAGACCCTATCTGAGCAGTTGAATGATGTTCGGATAGATAGTGATGATTTGGCATCTTCTAACATTCATCCTCAAGGAAGAAGTTTGAGAATGGAGAAATTTAGCAGGGAACCTGAAAGTGGTGCTCGCAAATACGGTAGCACTTCTAATAGGGTAAAAAGGCGCAAGTTCCGTGGGGCTAAAAGAAGTCGTGCTGCAGTAGCTTCCAGAGATACTGTAGCTCATAATGAAATGTCTGTGGCTTCAAATTCTCTAGCTCACGATTCTGTGCGGCCAACGCATCACATGGAGGAGGAGGAAGAAGAAGAAGATTACGGGGGCCAAAATGTCACTAGAGCTCCTAGGAATGGGTGTGGGATCCCGTGGAACTGGTCAAGAATACATGACAGAGGCAGAACATTTCTTGACATGGCAGGAAGGAGCTTGTCTTGTGGCTTGTCAGATAAGAAAGGGAGTCCAGCTTCTCGGAGGAGAGGTTTAGCTAACATTCCGGTGGATTTGGACAGTGCAAGCTCATCCATGAAATCTGATGCAGAAGCATTGCCTCTACTCATTGGGTCACAGGACAGCACTGAAAATGTCGATAGGGGACATGATTATTCTGGAGAGTTAGGCATTTTTGCTGATCATCTGCTGAAGCATGATGTGGATTCTGACCTTGCTTCTGAAGCTAGATCAGGCAACCGAAGCAGACCGAGACGGCAGCAGCATCGACACCAAAATCTGACCCAAAAGTACATGCCTAAAGCTTTCAGAGATCTTGTTGGACAGAATCTGGTGGTGCAAGCTCTCTCTAATGCTGTTAATAGACGAAAGATTGGGTTACTGTATGTGTTTTATGGACCCCATGGCACTGGAAAAAGCTCTTGTGCTCGCATATTTGCTAGAGCTTTGAATTGCCAATCCTCAGAGCGTCAAAAACCTTGTGGGTATTGCGGTTCCTGTATTGGTCATGATATGGGAAAAAGTCGAAATATAAGGGAAGTTGGTCCTGTTAGTAATTTTGATTTTGAGAGCATTATGGATCTCCTTGACAGCATGATTGTGTCAAAGCTGCCTTCAGCATACAGAGTGTTCATTTTTGATGAATGTGATACACTTTCTTCTGATTGCTGGAGTGCTATAATAAAGGTCATTGATCGGGCACCCAGGCGGCTGGTGTTCATTCTTGTCTGTTCAAGTCTTGATGTTTTACCCCATGTGATAATATCTAGGTGCCAGAAGTTCTTTTTCCCAAAGATTAAAGATGCTGATATCATATATACTCTACAATGGATCTCATCAAAAGAGCATTTAGAAATTGATGCTGATGCTCTGAAGCTTATTGCATCACGATCAGATGGTTCACTAAGGGATGCGCTGATGACTCTAGAGCAATTAAGTTTGCTTGGGCAGCGAATCTCTGTCATGCTCGTTCAGGAACTGGTGAGCTACTTTTTTTTCTGCAAATGATAAATAATATTGTTGAAATTCCATACCATTCACTGCTTAACATAAATTAACTCTGTAGCTCTCTGTATGAACATTCTTTCTTCCTCTATATGATGCCTTAATTGGTGATAAATGTGAGCATTATGATTCGTTAAGGTTTATGGAGGTTTTGATGGTCCGGCCTTCATTTTGTTGGGGTTTAAATAGTAAACCCTGCATTTATATATGCATTTAAATAGGTGGGAAATATTCCCACAATTTCTACCTGATATTAGAGCTGGAGATCCTATATTGTGTTTTAATATCTTTAGGCCCCCCTCTTTTGTCTCTCCATTTTAGATCAATTTCAACACTTAATTTTAGGCCAAATCTCAGCTTATGTGTTAGAGGAACTATTAGGGCATTTAGACATTATTAAACCTTGTCTCCATCTAATAGTTTGAGCTTTCAAATAAGTTGCTGTTCTCTCAAAATTTTCACAGTTTCCGTGCATGGTTCTTCTGTATGATATGCTTTTCATAGAACTAGATCATGCCCTAAAATTTGTTTTCAGGATTGGGTGAACATTCTATGCATGAGCTCCACTTACTGTCAATTTACTGGTTGGTCTGGAGCAAAACTTCATAGAGGTGGAGATTTTAGTGAACAGAAATTCGATGTTCATTAAAATGTTTTTGTTTTCTGGTGGAGACATCTCCAAAGATACTTGGACGGCCTTTTCCCAATTTACTCTGTAACATTTGAGAGTTAAGAGACTTTCTCAGTAAATCCTTCACAATCAAATATTTATAGAAGATTTGGAAAATTTATGTGCATTATTTGATAAATCAAGGCATTGATTATCCCGTATAGTGCTCATGTGGATTCTGATTTAAATGCAAAAAATTCATAAAAAGAAGGTTGTTTGTAGAAGGTGTGGAAAAGTTATGTGCATTATTTGATTAATCATGGCATTGATTGTCCAGTATAGTGCTCATGTGGATTCTGATTTAAATGCAAAAAATTCATAAAAAGAAGGCTGTTTGTATATGCTTGATGTCTTGCTTGATTAATGATAAGCATCAATAACGGAGTTGTGATTTTAGTGGTATTTTTTTAGCTTAAAAGAAATACCTCTTGCTTTCCCTCCAAATTTTTCAAGACATATTATTCAGATTTGAAAAAAAGAACATGCAAAGAAAATTGTAAATAAATCAATAATTGTACGTTTTGAAAGGTTGAGGTGTTCGACATTAAATAATAAATCGTTCTATTTCTAATGGCATTTTTAAGGTTTCGAAGGGACTCTTCAATTGAGTAACACGGCAGTATATTTTCAAAAATTTTGGTAGGGCTTAATGATTCTTCTGGTATGTTTGATATGATTACATCTACATTCTAAATTTTTAGGCAAAAGCAGTTTGTGACTGTCTTTATGGTGGAATTGATTTTACAAAAGATGATGAGACCTTGAAGTGTTTTCACGAACCTGACTACGAATTGTTCTTAAATACTTTCCGGCTTTTTGAAAATGTTGAGCACTTGTTTATGTAATTAAAAATCATCTAAGGAATTTCGTAAAACTCTGTAATAACAGTTATTATGGAATGCATAATAAGGTAAAAAAAATGAAATAATTGGCATTTTTGTACTTAGTGAAGACGAATTTCAAATTGCATCTGGCCGACAAACTTCTGTTTGTTATTGCAACGGAAGACTTGCCAGTTTTGGTTCCTCCGAAGAGGCCACTTTTGAAGTAAGAAAAAGAAGAAATTCCAATAGAAGGGTTTCTATCTCCTTGCCCCGAAAGATGTGACATGAGTAAACTTCTATTTCCGTGAACAAGACGTACATGAGACGTATATGATATAACTATGATTCGAACAATGTACGGTGCATTCTCAAGAATTGTCAGTCTTAATAAGCCCATTACTTCTCTTGTGAAGTAGCTGTGGTAGACTGCTTTCTCATTCATATATTGTTTTATCTAAAATTTCTCAGGTTGGGCTCATCTGTGATGAGAAATTGGTTGATCTTCTTGATTTGGCAATATCAGCGGACACAGTTAACACTGTCAAGAATTTGAGAGTGATAATGGAAACTGGTGTTGAACCGTTAGCCTTGATGTCACAGCTGGCTACAGTGATCACAGATATACTGGCGGGAAGCTATGATTGGACAAAAGAAAGGCATAGAAGGAAGTTTTTTCGACGACAACCATGTGAGTTTGAATGTATCATCAGTGTCAAACATACTTGATCGACTTTCACATGTGGTGTTTCCTTTCTGCTTATTAACCAATTCATCCATTTGATTCTATACCACATTATTAAGACGTTAATCCAAGTTCAATAGAGCTTTTAACTTCCATTTTGTTGGTCCACCTTTTATCTTCATTAGCTGTTCTGTTAATCAATATTGAGGTTCTAAAAGGTGTTGCTTATTCATGAAGGTGCTTTTCTTTACTTCACACTGTATTTGGTCTAGTTAAGCCAATCCACAAAATACTTACCGAGCTTCCCTTACATAATGCGACTTTATCCGTACTTTCTTATATATGAGAACTATTATTTGGGGTTTACAGGAATGGAATCGGTGTATCTTTCATTGAGGATGTTTATACATCAATTTGAGCACCCTATGCTTGTACATGCTTCAGAAATAGTTGTCTTAGTCCTTTTTTTGTTCCTGACAACAAAATTTATTGATTGCAGTAACCAAAGAAGACATGGAAAAACTACGCCAAGCTTTAAAAACTTTGTCTGAAGCTGAAAAACAGTTGAGGATGTCCAATGATAAATTGACGTGGCTAACTGCCGCATTATTGCAGCTAGCTCCTGATCAACAGTACCTGTTGCCTAATTCTTCTGCAGAGACAAGCTTTAATCACAGTCCTTTGCCTGCGAACAATATAGGTTTTAGAGAGACAATTGGGCAAGCTGGTGAACATGCTGTCGTGCATACGAGCAAGAGAGGCATTTCAGCAAATGATAGAATGCTAAAGGCCAATATTGGAAGTTCCTCTAAAATTCATAACAGCAACGAAAGCAAGGGTATTAGAGTAGACATGGCTGGACAAAGGAGCTTTGGCCTGGCTCCTCAGCAGGCATCTTCACAAGCCGATGGTGTAAGTACAAGCGGCAGGCCTGTTATTGGCAAAACTTATAAGAATGTCCAAGACATATGGTTGGAAGTACTTGAGAGGATCCAAAGTCCTAGCATAAAGGAGTTCCTATATCACGAAGGGAAGTTAGTTGCAGTCAGTTTTGGGGCAGGTACATTCTTTTGCTAATTGCAATCAACAATATATTCTAAGTTGGACTCTAGGATTGTTATAAATCATTGGGTTATCTTAGTTGGCCCACTATACTTTAATTTTTTTCGATTCAATCGTTCTTTTTGAGTGGTGGTAGAAACTGATTGAAAGACTTCAAGATCTATGTAGAGTGACCCATTTGAAAGAAATTAAAGTCAATGGTTTGAGGGTAAGTCACCCCAAAGTTGAATGAGTATTGGTGTAACTTTCTTCAGATACTTAATTGATCCTAGATTTTTACCTGTATAAGGGTGCGTTCGTTTTGCGGAAAATGAATGATTTGGAAAACATTTTCCTAAAACTAATCGCTTGTATTTCTTAAAAAATTAATGAATGGAAAAATTTTTCATCACCCACGAAAGTAATTAGGCATAGATTGTTATCGATGATGAAAACATTTTCCGTTGACTCATTTTTCTAAATGATATAAGCAATCATTTTCTGGAAAATGTTTTCCAAATCAGCCATTTTCCGTGAAACGAACGAACCCTAAATTTTGTTTGGATTGGAGCATGTTTAACACTTCAGAATCTGTTCTAGCCACTATAAGATGGAATACGAGTTGTATTTGGGTAGCCAATCTGGATAGGGTCAACAGCTGCTTCTTTAGTGCATGTGTTTTTTTGATGTTGAAATTATAGTTGGACACCCATTGAGTAAATCATATTTAATATGGGGGTCATTTTGTGGATATGAGTTTGAAGTTACACCATTTTGCTTTTAAGATGTAAATTGCAAAGAAGTAATGATCTTAAGGACCTTTAACTTGTATTTGTAATTTGAATGGTATGCTTATTCAACATTGATTTATAGACAAGCAGAATGTGAGCATTTGGAGTTATCATACAAGTCATGAGTAAGAATGTTTCATGTAGTTCCAAATTTGGCAATATAAACGAAAGGTGTTGCTATACATAAGAACTGTGTTTTATTGAATTTGAACTTCGCAAAATTCTAAGGAAAAGTGGAATATAGGATTTTGACATTAATGAAAAATATGATATTAACATGCATGCAAAGAGAGCAATTGACAATCAAAGATAAGCATGAAATACTCAGATTTAAAAGCATAAAACTTTAGCATCTCTAGTTCAAAGTACCCATTTGTTATAAATGAAGGAATCATTGAGTTTTATTTAAAGAGGATACAATAAATTTCCTGAGAAATGATGTTCCCATGCAATAGATAGATCATTTCTCAGTCTATAGAGCAAAGGATTGAGATTCAACTGTCATAGCTGGAACTCCCGGCGGATTTGATCTTGTAAGAGAGCTATCACTCGGGAATTTGGCTATTCCTTTATTAATGCTGTAAATCTATATGTCGTATTGCCTTCATTTGAGAGGAACATAGGCTCAAAATTTATCAAAGATGAGGATATATGGTTGACAAGGTGGTGATGAATAGACTAAGGACTTTGATGAGCTTTTTCTTCAATCTTTAAGTAAGTTTATAGATGATGTACTTTCTTTTTAGCTAGTGGAGATCTTGCATCTGGGATAGTAGAAGTGGTAATTGAGTGGAAATTCTATAATTCGTGTTTACTTTGCAAAAAGTGACAAACATAATGTAAGATGTGCCTTGCTAAGGCAGCTAGAGAAAATTTGTCCTGATTTGACTTAATTAATGAATCAGCCGGAGTGAGAATTTAGAATAAAAAAGGTGCACCAAGGAATTTTTGTAGGTATTTCACAAGAAGAGGTTTAGGGGGTTGGTGTATTTAATATCTATCTGCTATCAAGGTTTTGATGGAAGTTTTGAGAGGATCTAAGGGAACAGTGATATAGAAAATGAACTGTCTTGTAAATATATTTTGGACCCATACTGGGAGATTCTATGAAGAAATCATAAAGAACTATGCAGGGATTGCTGGTGTGTGTGAGAGAGACTTGAAGAATATTGATGTAGATGAGTAATAAATACTCACGAGAAAGTGACGAGACGATGATGTAGAGGTATACCTGAAGAAAACACGATTTACTGATTGATCAGTTGTCAATGATGTATGCCACGGTGCAACTTATTGTTACCACAGACCGTAAGAAGATCGAGTGAGGTTCTTATTTCACTGGCCTGTGAACCTGCATTAGTTACCATGGAGGAACTGACATGACATGCAAGAAGAAGAGCTATGATGTATCATGACATAAGCTTAAATTTGTACCATATATGAAGCAACAGTGCAAATTAGCCTAGGCAGGAAATTGGAGGATATTGCTGGTGTGTGAGACTTGAAAATTGATATAAATGAAATATAAATACTCACAAGAAAGTGACGAGACGATGATGTAGATACATACCTCAAGAAAACACGATTTACTGATTGATCACTTGTCAATGATGAATGCCACGGTGCAACTTGCTACTACTCTGGACAATAAGAAGAACGAGGGAGGTTCTTATTTTACTTGCCTGCGAACCAGCATGAGTTCATCACTAGTTGTCTACACCATGGAAGGACTCACATGACATGCAAGAAGAAGTGCCGTAATATATCATCGTTGTTGCAATACATTAAGGAACTATGCAAATTAGCCCAGGCTGGAAATTGGGGGGGGGGGGGGGGGGGATAGTGACAGATATAATTAGTGATCAAGGGGTTGTTGGTCTGATATTTACCTGAAGGAAAGGAGGCTTTAGTGCAAAATGGTGACGCTCTATAATGGCTATTTTCGCCACAATGGGCCAATTTTCATGAAGAATGAGGTTTTTGAGTAAACGTTCTACAAAGAGTCAAAAGAATGTTTAAAGGTGAGAAGGGAATAATATGGGCACGGTCTTGGATAATTAAGATTATCATATTGGAAAAGGCAAGTTGAAGTGATTATAGTCTTTTATCAGGGGATAGAAATTCGAAACCAATCCTGGGCTTGAAAGAGAAACGTAGAATAGAACTGATCAAGACGGAAACAAAAGAAATCAGGTGACCTTATTCAAGGGAAACTCAGTGATGCGAGATTGAGAATAGTCCCAACCCCTATCTATGGAATAAGCTAGGTGGTTAACGCAGATTAGGTTGATATTGGGAACATATAAATGGCCTAGATGATCATTTTATGATCCGGTTACCCAATGTAGGATTAGTCGAGTTGAATAAATGTTTCCCAAATTGACATGAATCTCTTTTATGAATATTACAGATATGTTACCGTATCAAAGTTCAAAGCTTGATTTTCTTTATGCCTCATGGAAAGGTTGCTACGCTTTTCATAATAGTTCAGCCGATTTTACTTAACTGATTGTTACCTTTCGAAATAAGGTTTAGTGTTTTGGTTCAAAATTTGTCATACTTGCTAGATATTTTCTTTGTTTTGGTGCATTTACATCTATACTTGGTGGATTCTCTAGAGATGCGGCAAATATTTTCTTTATGTTGTTTCCTGCAATGAAATAAAGACATTTATTAGCAGGATATAGTCAAGGGCACAAAAGAAAATCTATGTTTTCCAGTTGTACTGCTAAGTCTAATTGTATTGTCTTTTAATGGCTCAATTTTGCAGCTCCAACTGTGCAGTTGATGTTTAGTTCACATCTGACTAAAAATACGGCAGAGAAATTTGGGCGCCACATCTTGCAAGCATTTGAGTCTGCTCTTGCATCACCGGTGACAATCGAAATTAGATGTGAGCCATATAAAGATATGGCAGCTGGAGCTAATGCCCCTCTAAACTTACCTGCACCCACAAACGGTTCATCTCATATCAGAGACTCCACTGGCATCAGCGGTCAGCCTCATCTTGAAGTGGGTAAAAGTGAAATAGTTGAACTAGAAGCTTCCTCTAGAGAGCTTAAGCAAAATGAGCACGTCAATAACAATGCGAAATTTGACCAAGGAGGCCTGGAAGTAGCTTCCCACATTAATTTGCCACCTTCATTTCTGGAAAGAGTAAAATCTAGTGAAAGGAACCCAAGCCGGAGCATTGTGAGAGGCAAGGTGTCCCTTGCACATGTAATACAGCAAGCTGAAGGATGCTCACAGCATAGTGGCTGGTCGAGACGGAAAGCAGTTTCTATCGCCGAAAAGCTTGAACAAGAGAATCTGTAAGTGTTGTACTTTTCTTATGTTCAGAGAAAATGTACTTTTATCTTTTTTCCCTGATTGAGTTTGTTTCCAAATTACTCAGTTTCTGTTACTGAATTTGCAGTTGCCAGAATATGATGTGTACGTTCGAATTTTATATTTGAAAACAAGAAAAAATGAATTTGTCAAATAGGATGTACTTCCATGTCCCAGTCGCCAGAATAGAATGTATGTTAGATTTGAAGCCTTTTGCGAAAACTATTTAGAACTAGAAATTTAAATGAGTGGTTCGTTTCATATGCCTTTAAAGAAAATGCCGTCTCAAATGGCAATGTTCTGATTTGAGTTGCATGTGGAACCATTTGATGAGATGTATAGTACAATGGCTGCAGCTAATATATTATTGTTGCTATACTGTTGATTGATGGGAAAACATGATTTCTCGACATTGCAGGAGACTCGAACCTAGGTCTAGAAATTTGCTTTGCTGGAAGACATCTAGAGCAACTCGTAAAAAGGTAATGATCGATAAACTTAATTCCGTTTGAATTTCCTTTGATGGTGGGGTTACTAAACATCAAATCTCTTCAGTATGTGCGATGCACGTATTTAATTTATTTTATTTATATCTTCAAGGAGATGAGAGTGTGACTGAGATGGCATTGGGTAGTAGATAAATGGAAACTATCCCAACTCAACCGTCATTAAGTATCTTGTATTTTTAGCGCTTATTGCAAATATTAATAGAAGGTAATGACGCGGTTTAAAAGCAAATCCAAAAGCTCCGAACTGAAAATAGGCTAGTCAGTTAATTAGATTCCAGGCTGTGATGGGCTTCATTGCTAGGATTCCTTCATGTTCATCCTTACCCTTGTAAACTTTATCTTTTCATTTTATTTATTTATTTTTTTTGGAAATCTTAGTACAAGCTTGTTCCCCTTTGTTGGTTCAAGTTTCCCAGATAAAGGCAATCTTTGATAATTGTGAAGCCAATTTCTTTGCTATATTTCACAGTTTCTTGGGTAGTCTCTGCCCTTCATGGTATCAAAATCAGCTCCTTTTTTTGTCAGGTCTGGGTTACAAATTTGTACCCAACTCAATTAGTGAATTTGTCTGGATGTCCATGGTTTTTGTTCATAGTTAGAGTTTCAACTTCTTGTTCTGGAGCTTCAGAAGGTCATAAATTCGCTCCACATTCAGTGGCTGATTATCTTCGACCGATCACGCATCATTTAAGCTTTCGTTTTTTAACATACTCAAAATAGTGAGATTTACTGCCAATCATAGAATTGAGCAGTGTAGAGGCATTAAAAACAGGAATACCAGTGACCTTTATCGAGATTGTGTTCTGCCTGAAACATAGTTTTTGAGCATAAACTCAATGCGATATGGTTTGTTGCAATTTGCTGTTTGTAATCATGAATTAGATTGTGGGATTTGCCTTGATGAATTTGGCTGTTGGAGTGGAGACGTAACTCTGTATCGAAGACAACTTGAACTTGTAGTGGGACCAGACCTCCACTTTCCTTTAGTTTTTGAGCAAATAAATAACTGGCTTATCAAATAAAGAAAAGCCTTAAAATAACAATCTGATCATTATAACCAGTGAATCCTCTGAGCCAACCTGCATTTTCTTTTTGGAATGTGATCATTAAATGGAGCAACCGATCACTGTGATTACTTTGTCATATTATTGTGATCCAGCTATCTGTCTATGAGTAGTAGCTTCTTTATTTAGGGAATTTCCATCTTTTCACTCCTTGTTTGAACAAGACATTTAAGCAAGGTGATCAAGTTTCTAGAGTCACTAGTCTTGTTCGTGGGCGGAACATGCTGCAAATGCTTTAGTTTTGACTCAAGGTACACTAGCTTATTGTGTTACTTACTATCTGTTGCATTTGCAGCTCTCTCGCTTGAAAATTAGAACGAGGAGGCCACACGCACTGCTGAAGTTTGTTACCTGTGGGAGGTGTCTATCAAGTAAGTCTTCGAGATAATTCATTGGGAATTCTTGGGATGTAAAATCTGCGGCTGCCTTCAACTTAGTAGAATCTACAAGAATTTTCTGCTAGATTGAAAGTCGATTTTATTAGTCTCGTCTGTTTAGATTGAATAATAAGGTGAGGTATATTGACTGGAAGTTGTAGGAACAGAAATTATTAGCTCAGTTTATTTTTAATGAATTTCATTAGATTCAACTTTTCTTGCAAGTTTGCTTTTCATTTAACTTTCAATTCTTTCTTTTCTTTTGTACCATTCTTACATGATTGGAGATGAAAGAGACATTTGCAGACGCTTATCATTAAAGTCATACAGAGATCAACTTGTGATTAATATATATGATTGTCCTTAAAGAGCGCAGTTATACCAGTATGAGCTTTATCTCCAGACAACTGTTTTATTATGTTGAATGTATAGTAATGAATATATAAAATCATTGAAGTTTGAGTAAAGATACACTCAAGTGCTGGCACCTGAAATTTGCATTGGCAATTGGCTACCTGTACATTATATTAAGTTCCAAAGGTTTTCTTCTGTGTCTATCCTTATATCTGCCAGAATGGAGAAAGAGAAATTAAGCTGCCGAAACATAATCATGTCTAGAGTGTAAGTCACTACTCCAATCCTTACATTGTAGAGACACCCAGATAGCAAATGTTGTAAAATGCTTACCGAGGCTCACCAGAAAATTCTGGAAAAACCTTTAACAAAATTCGCTGCTCGAATCTCCGGCAGATAGGGACTTTGTTAGAAGAAACTGAATAAGAACTAATTAAAATGACCACTCTGATGGTTGGTACCGTTTACTTCTTAGTGTCTGATGGTGATGACACAAATCTAGTAAAGTAGATGGTGTGGTGATGATACAACGAACCTAAGAATAAAGGTTAGTGCGACCTCAACGCCACTCGAAAAATCTTATTTTTGGGATAGTGTTCTCAATATGTAAGTTTTTTCTTCATCATATAAACCTTTTATGATGATCAAAATTGCATTTAACTCATACACCAATCTGCACGCGGTCAGTCGTTCTCGCCCAGTTGCGCACTTGGTGTTTTGGAAGGGGGGGATGGTTAATTGTTCAAAGGAGAAGTCAAGACGGCTCAGGCCATTTTACCGGAAGTCAGTCATTGATAGTTGTGTGCGGAAAACACCACTAGCCCATGATTTTGGTTTCTTCCAAGGTTATTGTTAGTCAGATCCATGGCTGTCTTTCATGCATGCTTTGTCTGAATTTGCAGTTGTACAATGCTATGTGGTGCTTAATAGGGCCTTATGTGATCTTGGTATATATGAACAGTGATTGTAGACTAAAGACACCATCTAGTATTCTGGCTTTGGTTTTGCTTGCATTTTTGTTGTGGGTGATTCTTGTGATCTGTTCCTCTATTGATGTTTGGAAGACAAAATTGGACTTCTTCAATTATGATTTATTCTGAGGAAAACATCACACGCACTATGGTTTCGATGTCGCTAACGCTGGTTTCCCTTCGAGTGGGCACAAATCATCTTCACTGCGTCACCTTCTGGCTTTCCCTCGCACTTGGTTTTCACTGTTTTCCATGTGAACTTCTTACTAACACTGTGAAGTGATGACATTTAGAGGTAGAGGCCGCAACTGCTCATTCCATTAGTTAAGCACAATATACCTGTTACAAGCCTGAGACGAGAATCAGTTTTTGGTCCCTTGTCATTGGTTTCGTAACACCGGATTTAATCAAGCCCTGAGGCTTATTGAGTATGCATCTGATAACAGAAGCAAAGTGGGGCAATAACTGTCATTCTGTTCTGCTACATCTATGTAAAATTTCTTAGATGATTTACGCATGGGAATTATATTCAGTCAAATGTCCTTGAATATTCTTTTCATCGAGAAAGCATTTCTCCTTGCTGCATTATCGTCTTCCGAGCTTCTGTGATACATCTAGAGTCCATGTATCTGTCCCACGACTTTGCCGCTGTTATCTCCTGTTCATAGGTTGTGCCTTCTAATGAAGGTTGGAGTGGCTTTGAAGACTAGCAAGGTAGTAGTCTTTTAGATGAAGTTAGCTGCCTTCTTGTCAACTCGTTTGCTTTTGAAGTTATTCTGTGTACCTGTGAGATACTAATCTGCTTCTGAAAGTAACGTGCACGAATATGCAACTCTCACCAAAATAGTGAAGACTGGTACTTTCAGGCCCCAGGAGTACTGACCATTCTTCGAATAGTCGAAGGTCTTTCATTCATGTATATGTTATTGGCTAAGCTTTGTTCAGTACAAAAGCATGTGTCTTTTCTTTCGGGATTGCTTTTTCGGTTTTAAAGATTTTGCTCTTGGTAAGCTTGCTATCAGTAACAACCGGGCCAAGCTTTGCAACAACAAAAGATTGCTTCATGTCCTCTCTTTTATAAATCCTTGTTGTCCTCGTTGTTTTGGCTAGGACTGAAAAGACCTCTTAAAGGAACTTCATGTGGTTGGATCCACACACAGCGCACAAACTTCATAAGGTTCGTATCCTTTCAGCAGGGCTTTTAATGTCGATTCTTCGTGATTATGAAACAGAAGGAGAGCAATGTGATCGCATGAGTAGAGACCTGAGAAGCACCGTGAAACAAGACAAGAACATATGTAGGTCATCACAGGGTTATAGAAAGAGCCAAAACCAACAACCATGTGTGGTCATATGACCAACAGCAGCCACAGGAACAAAAAGAAACTGCACACAGCATGATCATCGATCCTCAAGCCTTATCTCTTGGACCACTGTTGTCTGAATGACCTACATGTGTTTTTGTCACCCTCTTGCCTTATTTTGTCAAATGGCCTCTTATTAACATCAAACAGCTGGAGTTTTGAGTTTTCTATCCACTTGTGGGACAAATTCAATGTCCCTCTGCTGCATTTAGTCTCTCCGTCCTTCAGTATCCATTGAGGCCTCCAACTGAATTGATCACCTAGAACTGTGTAGTATTAGATTTCATTGCGGTGGTTGGATCTGGCGAGACCAATGTATTCTATGCCAATTGCAACCCGTGTGGAGCAGAGTTGTGTTAAGTGTGCTTGCTGATCGCTTGGTCCATGCCGACTTGCCTGTCGTGTGGATTATCGTACTTTGGCCAGGGCTCGTAGCTACGAACGGAGACTCGACAATCTAATTAAGCCATATGTTGAACCTGTCAAATCCGATTGTCAACGAGAAAATTCCTTTCATGACATTCGAAAAGTTTACAAGAAAATCCCGTCTCCTCTTGCATACCACGTGATATTCTTAGACAAAAAAGAGTTCCTTTTCTAGAAAATAACCAAATGTCTCGAACCATCAGATCATCCAGGCCATTGGCGGACCGGCGACGAGTTCGGGAACGGCACTGTTTCATGCTAGAACCGACAATCCGAGCGTACAAAGTCTACTCATGACATGTTAAGATGGATACCAAGTGAACTCATTCGATTTGCGACTACCGAAATGGCAAAGAAACTATGCAGTCTGCAGATACAACACCTAATATCAGTAAATTTACGTTTTGCTTCAACCACCGATATGTAGCTAATCTGACAGCAACATCTACCCAAATACTCTCCCAAGAAGTCAACGTTCATCAAACAAAACGCACACGTTGCCACAAAACACACAACGTACGAGAAAATCAAAGAAGGTGCGCGTCCTTTGCGTACGTGGAAAAAATAGCAAGGACAAATTAATCAAATATTTGATGAGACTTTGCCCTCTGCCTCGGGCTACTACAAGATTTTTCCAGAGGGGGGGACAGGTTTGTCAACGGTTGCGCCGTATGAACTCCACGAATTTCGCGATGAAAACGGCTTTAACCATCTTGACTGGGAAGCTCTGTTTGGTCACGCTTTGGAACCCCCGTGGTCGGTTAGTATGTGTGTGATTGAATTGACAGATGCTTTGCTGCGCAAAGGTGACAAAGAAGGAAGGAAGGAAGGAAGAAGAAGCACGCTTTTGGGGGAGACAAAAATAAAATTGATTTTCTACTGAATTTATAAGACAATTGCGGGGGGGGGGGGGGGGTTATTTTGGTGTGTATTGCACCCCAAAAGTTGTGGATATGGTGAATCTGGTGTGTTAATGACATACCGCCGTTTTCTTAGGAGATAATACCATTAAAATGTTGTGTGGAAGAGCATCCTTACTAGATGAGATGAAACAAGAATAATCTGAACATAGAGATTTACGTGGTTCGGCAAAAAAATTCCGCCTATGTCCATGGGAGAGAGAGAGACGATTTCTTATTTCTAAGCATATTTGATACAAGGTACAATACTGAATAAATAGATCCTCAAATCCCTACTTTTCTAATCCCAAGAAGTTCTACCCTAAAGATCTTATCAGTTTAGGAAACTAACTAATAAATCTTTAGTGATTATCCCCTAAATATTAAGAATATCATGACATATCCCAGTTACATTAAATTAGGACTATTTCCCTTAAAATCCCATATAGATAGGAAATATATTTGAAACGCGTAGCGTGCAAGCTCCAAGCCTTCTTAGATTTCCCAATCGATTTTTCCGAGTATCTAATAGATCGAAACTTCATGGAATTCAAGACAACATCAACAAATCTCCACTTTTGGCTTGAATAAACCACAAGCCTCCGCTCGAATCAGGAAAACGTTTATATCTCTCTCTCCACCGTACCTTCACAAAGGTACGCCCGCACCTAGACCGGTGCGGCCTCCATCAACTTCAATGATTGGTGAGAGAAATCAAGTCCCTGCAGGACTTGAACTTCTCCGTAGTAACCGTCTTTGTGAGCATATCCGCGGGATTATCTTTTGTATGGATTTTCTTCAAAGCAATGCTACCATTCTCCACAAATTCTCGAATCTTATGGTACCGAACTTCAATGTGTTTCGTTCTGGAAGGAAACACTTGATTTTTCGCGAGACATATTGCGCTTTGGCTATCGTAAAATAGTGTAGCACTTTCCTGCTTTAAACCTAACTCCATGACCAAACCGATTAGCCATGTTCCCTCCTTCGCAGCCTCAGTTGTTGCCATGTACTCAGCTTCGGTTGTAGACAATGCTACAGTAGACTGAAATATTGCCCTCCACGAAATAGCTCCACCTCCAAGAGTAAAGACGTATCTCGTGATGGACCTTCGCTTGTCCAAATCACTAGCGAAGTCCGAATCAACATAACCTGCTAAATTGATTAATTCTTCCTTTGAACTGAACATCAAACCCAT